TGTAACGGCTTGATAAAGTTCCTGGAGAGCGAAACGTTGCCACAATAAAATGTCACATTAGTTGCACTTGTGTCCTTTTACTTTACATATTGTCGGTAATTCTACTAACATTAAAAATATGTTGGTTCTCCCTTACCATGAAAACTTGGTTGATATGCCTTCTCTTCTTAAGACTTTTAATATTAAAGTTGTATTTAAAAATCTTGATACAAGTAAAAAAAAAAACTTTTGAAGAGTTCCCCCCAAAATACTGACGGATGTCTGTAAGACTCCTTGTAAAATTTGCGATAAAGCTTATTGCGGTCAAACTGGTAAGTCTCGTACTAAGATTAAAACAACTGGACAAGATTCCAATGCTCTATTTATTCATGTGAGAGATTTTAACCATCCAATAGATTTTCAAAAAGTTGAGAAAGTTGTATCAAACAAGTCCATGGTTGACAGAAATATAATTGAATCTTGTATCATAAAAAGCAGTTTTGAAAATATGAATATTTCCTTTGGTTTATATAAATTACATTCATTTATAATTAACAAAATTTGTGAAGAATTTAATAATACATTGGACAAATAATAAACCTTATTTCTTGGGTAGAATGATTTGTTATTGGGTTGTCGTGAGGACCTGTCTAGTTGGACCAGCGGACCTACTGCAGTGTTCCTCTTTTCTTATGAGTCCGGTATTGTCGCCGTCAGGTGTTTCTTTGTTGTGGGAGTTGACTGTGAGGTGTGGTCTAAACCCTTTAATTGTCTTCCTTTGATGTATTACTTTCATAGTTCCTTGGAATTTCACTACTCTTTCACAGTGGTTGTTTTGCATAATATAATATAAATATATATATATGTCGTGCCGAATATGTAAAACTGGTCAATTAGCAAGAACTCATTTAAAATTAAGTCCTTTCTGAAATATTCACTTGTACGTTTAAAGATATATTTTTAAATTAATGTTAATGTAAAATTTTTTAATTTTGCAGCAAAAGAATCTTAGAAAACTTGCCTAACCTTATTATAACAAGCGTAATTTATTTTAGCCTAACCCAACTAAATATGTTTTAAATACGTTTACAATAATTTAGTACTAAACAAACACAATCAAACATTTTTTTCGTTAGGTTCAGAATGATTTTGGCCAAATTATTGCATACACAAATTTTCACTTGTCCTATATGGCAAGATGAGCGTTGCTATTTAAGCCAAGATCGCAAGTTCTGCCTATTCGGCACGACATATAATAAATATAATATATATATATATATATATATATATATATATATATATATATATATATATATATATATATAGTGTGTGTGTGTATATCTTTCGCATTGTCTTGCAATAAAAAGAGGTTTCTTTATGTGCTTATTTGTGTGCTTGCCTGTGCTGTTTAAATAGAATCAGCCATCTCGTCACTGTTTTAATAAACACTGGTAATGTTTACCTGGCAGGTTCTATAGTTAGTGAAGTGAACGATAGCCGTTTTTTCCTCACTTTGTTCTGGCGTCAGTGGTTCATTTGGTAATCTCTATATGGCTTCAGGGTATGTACTCGCCTAGTTGTGGTTGTAGGGCGTCGATTCACAGCTTCTGGCCCCGCCTCTTCACTGATCCCCATTAGTTCCTCTTTCTCCCTGCTTTATCATACCTCGTCTTAAAACTGTGTTTGGTTCCTGCCTCCACTACGTCACTTGACAAACTATTCCACTTCCTGACAACTCTGACTAAAGAAATACTTCCTAACATCTCTTTGACTTCTCTGAATCTTCAACTTATAATTGTGACCCTTTGTTTCTGTGTCCCATCTCTGGAGCATCCTGTCTGTCCACCTTGTCAATTCCTCGCAGTATTTTGCATGTCATTATCATGTCTCCCCAATCCTCCTGTCCTTCAGTGTCGTCAGGCCGATTTCCCTTAACCTTTCTTCGTAGGACATTCTCCTTAGCTCTGGAACTAGTCTCGCACTTTCCCTAATTTCTTGACGTGCTTGACAAAGTGTAGGTTCCAAAATGGTACTTCATACTCCAGTATGGGCCTAACGTACAAGGTATACAGAGTCTTGAACGATTCCTTACTGAGGTATCGGAACGCTATTCTCAGGTTTGCAGTCTTTTGCCACCTAGCCTATACTCTGCGGTTTTCTTTGCCCTTCCCCGATCTTCATGACTTTGCACTTGGGGGGAGGGGGTGTTAAATTCGAGAAGCCAGTTGCTGGACCAAGCTTCCCGCCTGTCCAGGTCACCTTGTAGTCCTGCCTGATCCTCACTGAATTCTCCTCATTAACTTCACATCATCTGTGAACAGGGACACTTATCAAGCTCTCCCTTCCGTCATGTCATTCACATATACCAAAAATAGAACTGGTCCTAGGACCGACCCCTGTGGAACCCCGCTCATCCAAGGCGCCCATTCTGATACCTCGTCACGTACCATGTCTCGTTATCTCCCTCTCTGGTATTCTCTTATCCATTGCAGTGCTCTTTGTTATGCGTGCCTAAGCCTCTAGCTTTTGTACTAATCTCTTGTGAGGAACTGTCGAAGGCCTTCTTGAAGTCCAAGAAAATGCAATCTACTCACTTCTCTCTCTCTCTCGTGTCTTCCGTTACCTTGTCATAAAACTCCAGTAGGTTTTTGACACAGGATTTGCCTTCCATGGATCCGTCCTGGTTGTATATGTTCATCCATCATTAAAATGGGTACCTGGGTGTCAGTCGACTGGTGTGGGTGGCATCCTGGGACAAAACTGACCTAATTTGCTGGAAATGCTCTGCATAACGAGGGGCTTTCTATATAGTAGTATGTCACTGATGTCAGCTAGGACTGTATACCTTGTACATGTACTTGTAGTAATACATATTTATTATTATTATTATTATTAAAAAGCAGTATTTATTTAATTATAATCATGGGGAGCGCTAAGCCCGTCGGATTACACAGCGCCTGTTGAGGTGGGGGTGGGGGCGGATGAAAGGTATTCGGGCTTAATTCAGGGAACTGGAGCACAGATCCAATTCCCTAGATCAAGAGCCCTCACCAGCGTCAAGGAACCTCCCTTGAGGGGTGAACAGGATCAACTGGTGTAAGGTAACTTGTTCATACGTCTCTGTCCGATAATCTAACCCGGATATTATCGTTTGTAAGCTGAGTACCATTGAGCTGTTGCGCTAAAACTCGCCCTCGCTAAGTTTTCTTACGAATTTCTCGCATTTGGTTGCAGTAAGTACCCAATTCATTAATTACGTTTGGTTAGATTAGTTTTACCTATCTTAGATTGTCGTTTGTCAATAAAAACTAATTAATATCACATCGCAACTCCGGAAAATAAAACACTGTTAACAGCGTTTTTAACAATCTCCCATTTGACTGAATTAGTAAGAGTGAAATACTGTTATCAAGAGAATAATCAACGTATCTATGTCGTACCTATATTTCTTACCTTTGGCCACTCTTCCCTCGGGCAGTGTGCCGCCACATCCACGGCTTCGTTAACAAGATGACGTCGACTTTACAAGAGTATAAAGGAAGGGGACGGTGCACTTACAACTCTTTACAATGTTAGTGAGGCGGGTGTACGCTGTCGAGCCAGCACAGTGTGTGTCCAGCTAGTGAGTCAGCACAGTGTGTGTCCAGCTAGTGAGTCAGCACTGTGTGTGTCCAGCTAGTGAGTCAGCACAGTGTGTGTCCCTCTAGTGAGCCAGCACAGTGTGTGTCCCTCTAGCGAGCCAGCACAGTGTGTGTCCCTCTAGTGAGCCAGCACAGTGTGTGTCCCTCTAGTGAGCCAGCACAGTGTGTGTCCCTCTAGCGAGCCAGCACAGTGTGTGTCCCTCTAGCGAGCCAGCACAGTGTGTGTCCCTCTAGCGAGCCAGCAGTGTGTGTGTGTGTGTTGCCCTCTAGCGAGCCAGCACAGTGTGTGTGTGTCCCTCTAGCGAGCCAGCAGTGTGCTGGTGTGGTCCCTCTAGCGAGCCAGCAGTGTGTGTCTTGTGTGCGTGTGTGTGTCCCTCTAGCGAGCCAGCAGAGTGTGTGTGTGTGTCCCTCTAGCGAGCCAGCAGAGTGTGTGTGTGTGTCCCTCTAGCGAGCCAGCAGTGTGTGTGTGTGTGTGTGTGTCCCTCTAGCGAGCCAGCAGTGTGTGTGTGTGTGTCCCTCTAGCGAGCCAGCAGAGTGTGTGTGTGTGTCCCTCTAGCGAGTCCAGCAGTGGTGTGGTGTGTCCCTCTAGCGAGCCAGCAAGTGTGTGTGTGTGTCCCCTGCGAGCCCAGGTGTGTGTGTGTGTGTGGTCTCTCTAGCGAGCCAGCAGAGTGTGTGTGTGTGTGTCCCTCTAGCGAGCCAGCACAGTGTGTGTGTGTGTGTCCCTCTAGCGAGCCAGCACAGTGTGTGTGTGTGTGTGTGTGTGTGTGTGTCCCTCTAGCGAGCCAGCACAGTGTGCGTGTCCCTCTAGTGAGCCAGCACAGTGTGCGTGTCCCTCTAGCGAGCCAGCACAGTGTGCGTGTCCCTCTAGCGAGCCAGCACAGTGTGTGTGTGTGTGTGCGTGTCCCTCTAGCGAGCCAGCACAGTGTGCGTGTCCCTCTAGCGAGCCAGCACAGTGTGCGTGCCCACTAGCGAGCCAGCAGCATGTAAAGTGTCCCATCTAGCGAGCCAGCAGAAGTGGTCCAGCTAGCGTGCCACCAGAAGAGTGCCAGCATCGTGCCGTGCAGATAGTGTGTCTCATCTATCGAGCCACGCAGAGTGTCGTCAGCAATCGTGGTCCACGCAGAAGAGTCCAGCAATCGAGCCAGCGCTGAAGTGTCCATCAATCGAGCCAGTGCAGAAAGTGTCCAGCTTCGTGGCCATGGCGGTAAATGTGTCCAGCTACTCGAGCAGCCAGCACAGTGTGTATCGGTCGTGCGGTGTCCCTCTGCGAGCCAGCGCAGAGTGCGTGTCCTCTAGCAAGCCAGCACAGGAAGTGTCCTCAATCGAGCCACGCAAAAGTGTCGGTCCCATCGAGCCAGCCAGTGTGCGTGTCCCAATCGAGCCAGCAGCAAGTGTCCAGCTATCGAGCCAGCGCAGAAAGTGTCCAGCTATCGAGCCAGCGCAGAAAGTGTCCAGCTATCGAGCCAGCGCAGAAAGTGTCCAGCTATCGAGCCAGCGCAGAAAGTGTCCAGGTGGCGGGCCAGCGCAGAAAGTGTCCAGGTGGCGGGCCAGCGCAGAAAGTGTCCAGGTGGCGGGCCAGCGCAGTGTGTGTCCAGGTGGCGGGCCAGCACAGTGTGTGTCCAGGTGGCGAGCCAGCGCAGTGTGTCCAGGTGGCGGGCCAGCACAGTGTGTGTCCAGCTAGCGAGCCAGCTAGTGAGCCAGCAGGACCACGCCGCACGTAGCCGCCGACATGACGGATGGAGCGAAAGTTTTCAAGAAATCCTCTCCCAATGGTAAGTTGTGAAGTTTGAAATTTGTTTTTGCTTTTTGTGTACTAAAGCGATGCGCTGAGCCTCTCCAGTCATTGAAATCATGAATAATAAAAACTCGAACCTCAGTCTGCTAATCAGGATACTCAGTACACACCTGAGGCAGGAACCAACATTCAGGTACAAACAAGAAAGCAGAAGTTGATTATATTTCTATCTCAAACTGAGGTGATAAATTACACACTTGTGCAACACTTGGGTATCGTCATTGTGGAAAGGTTCGCCACACAGTGGCTTCATCAGTTCAATACAAAGAAGAATGGTTGAAGATCAGAAGTAGTTTGAGGTAATCAGTCCCTCAACCTGGAGCCAATGTAATCAATCCATCAGTGTTGATAACATAGAATGCGCGCGAAGAGGCTTGCATAATGCAGACAGGCGAGGTGAAGCACTCGTATGCGGCGTCACTTTGGACAGATCCACAGGTAGAAGTAGGCTTCTTCCTTGAGGGGCCTATAGGTTAGGCTCCTCCCTTGAGGGGCCTATAGGTTAGGCTCCTCCCTTGAGGGGCCTATAGGTTAGGCTCCTCCCTTGAGGGGCCTATAGGTTAGGCTCCTCCCTTGAGGGGCCTATAGGTTAGGCTCCTCCCTTGAGGGGCCTATAGGTTAGGCTCCTCATAGGAGGTTCCTTGATGCAGCTGAGGGGACTCTTGATCTAGGGAATTAGATCTGTGCTCTAGTTCCCTGAATTGAGCCTGAATACCTTCCATCCCTTCCCCCACAGGTGCTGTATAACCCCTACGGGGTTTATTAAGCTATATTAAGATCCCAAGATATCCAAAGTAACAAAAAAAAAAAAAGCGCAATACCGTGACTGGAACGATACACAAATAACCCGCACGTAGAAAAGAGAAGCTTACGACGACGTTTCGGTCCGACTTTGTAAATGGTCCAAGTCGGACTGAAACGTCGTCGTAACCTCCTCTCTTCTATGTGCGGGTTATTTGTGTATATCCAAAATGCTTCACATATGCAATTTATGAACTTCTCGGTAAGCCAGTGGAAGGCCTCGGTCAGATGACCAAAAGCTTCATTGGCTGGTCGTCATATGTCTAAGACCCGCGTCAGGGAACACCTGTCCTGTTTCCTGACGAATCTCACCTGAACTATATTTATCTACACTCAAACTGAAGCCTTAATAAGGGGTACAGTGAAGGAAGTTAATTAGGTTCCTGAAGACTCAGGTGAGCTTCAGGTCACCTGCACGTTAGGTTCGGCTGTCCATGTTCACCTATTTCCCGTCTAGTTTGGATTTTTTTTTCGTTGATAACCTCGTTAGTGCCTAAATAAGGAAGAAATTTTATTTTAACTCTATATTTTTATTTCTGGAATTCCAGAAATTCCATTGGTCGTTCATGAGGCAGGTGTAAAAATTTGATATTTTTTTCCCCTGTCTGTTCTGTTTTATTGACTTTCTTAGTAAGAAATTTATTTTTACTGCAGACCTTCTGCTCATCTTTATTAGTTTGTTTTTACGTAGCTACCAGTCTGTTACTACTTGTTATTTTATTATGCAACTAGTTGAATCTCTCTCTCTCTCTCTCTCTCTCCTCTCTCTCTCTCTCTCTCTCTCTCTCTCCCCTCCTCTCTCTCTCTCTCTATCTCTCTCTCTCTCTCTCTCTCTTCTCTTCCTCTCTCCTCTCCCCTCTCTCTCTACTCTCTCCCCCCTCTCTCTCTTCCTCTCCCCTCTTCTCTCCTCTCTCACCTCCTCTCTCTCTTCCCCTCTCTCACCTCCTCTCTCTCTCTCTCCCTCTCTCTCTCTCCTCTCTCTCCCTTCTCTTCCCCCTTCTCTCGTCCCCTCTCTCTCTCCGTCTCCTCTCTTCCCCTCTCTCTCTTTCCCCTCTCTCTCCCCTCTCATCTCTTCCCTTCTTCTCTCTCCCTCTCTCTACTAGCCCTCTTCTCTCCCCTCTCTCTTCTCTCTCCCCTCTCTCTCTCTTCCCTCCTGCTTCACCCCTCTCCTTCTCTCTCCCCCTCTCTCTCCCCCTCTCTCTCTTCTACCCCCCCTCTCTTTCTCTCGCCCCCCTCTCTCTCTCCCCCTCTCTCCCCCCCTCTCTCTCTTCCCCCCTCTCTCTCCCCCCCTCTCCCCCCTCTCTCCCCCTCTCTCCTCTCCCCCTCTCTCTCTTCCCCTCTCTCTCTCCCCCTCTCTCTCTTCCCCTCTCTCCTTCCCCCTCTCTCCTCTCCCCCCCTCTCTCTCCCCCCTCTCCCCCTCTCTCTCCCCCTCTCTCCCCCCTCCCTCTCTGAGAGGAATCGGCAGGGTGGACAGAGACAGGATGTTCCAGAGATGGGACACAGCAACAAGGGGTCACAATTGGAAGTCAATGAGTTACGGATATTAGGAAATATTCAATAATGGAGTCGTCAGGAAATGGAATAGTCTAGAAAGTGAGGTAGTGGAGGCAGGTACCATACACAGCTTTAAGAAGAGGTATGATAAAGATCATGGAGGAGAGAGAGAGAGTGGACCTAGTGGCGACCATTGAAGAGGCGGGGCCATTAGCTATGACTCGACTCCTGCAACCACAATTAGGTGAGTATACACACACACATGTAGTGTGTGTAGAGGTATGATAAAGCTAATTGAGCATGGGGAGTGACCTAGTAGCGACCAGTAAAGAGGCGGGGCCAGGAGCTGTGAATCGACCCTTGCAACCACAACTAGGTGAGTACACATTACCTAGTTTGTATTCCGAGGGGGTCAACGCCCCCGCGGCCTGGTCCATGACCAGACCTCGGGTCATTCTGAAGACTGGCGTCCTCGCTATAATAATCTTTTACGCGAGCTACGACATTCCAGTGTTTATAGAGGCAGTAACTTGGTAACACGATGCAGTTCCACTGTCCTTAGTCTGAGTCGTAACTCAACAATTGAAATTTAACGCAAGCCAGGAAGTTAGTTATATTTTTTTTCCATTAAATACTTTACAATCAGTCAAAATACAATCAGTTAATACAATCAGTCAAAAATTACACGTTCATACACAAGCATTAAAAAAATCTTCTCACCGTTGTATTCTGCGATAAAATGATTTATGTGGTACTGTATGATAAATTTAGAATATTATTATTTCTACAAGTGCATGTACAAGGTATACAATCTTAGCTGACATCAATGATATACTACTGTATAGAAAGTCCCTTGTTATGCAGAGCATTTCGGGCAAATTAGGTCAGTTTTTGTCCCGGGATGCGACCCATGTCAGTCAACTAACTCCCAGGTACCCATTGTTACTGATGGGTGAACATAGACAACCGGTGTAAGGAAACACGCCCAATGTTTCTACCCTCCCGGGAATCGAACCTGGAGTCTCGCTGTGTGAAGCGAGAGCTGTCGCCACCAGACCACGGGCCACCGAGGAAGATAAGTAAAACGCATGTACGGTAGTTTGACATGTTGACTTACAAGTTGTTTCCCCTCCATAGCAAGTTTCTTCAGTCAAAACACAGAGGAGACGGAAGTAGTGGTGGAAATGCAGACACAAGGTGATCAATCCCTCAGCCTTGGTGTATGTTCAGCTCCACAGCCTCGATGAATGTGAAACAAATTCATAAAAAGGCAGCTTTTTATACTGCCAGAAATAAGGTGTGGAAGTGTGGGTGGCGTCACAGAGGGCGGAACCACTAGTGGAATAGTATGGAATTAAGGGAAACTGCAACTCTCCTACTGGTTTATGCGACACAGGCCTCCAAAACCCAGTTGTCTCACTCATAACCAGCAGATGAGCAACGAAATTGTAGGTGACCTCAATGTAAATATGAGTGAAACACGTGCAACAGTGCGGTAACCTTATTCACTTGTTAACTGTTTGTGAAGTGGACGTTGTTATATGGCCTGTCGAGTTTTATATATCTCGTTAGGCAAGTGCTGCCATCTTGTAGGCTAGGCCTACTAGATTTCTGTCTGTGAGACACTAAGCTACTCATCACTCACCTAATACAGCCTACAAGCAAGATGTCCCTCCCATTCTCCTACCAGGCAGGGGTCTGGTAGCGCCGCCTAGAACACACTGCCTGTACGGAACCCAAATAAAGCTAAGCCTCGCCTACGGGACGGTGAAGCAAAGTAGTCGTCGCGGGGTAGTCACTGCAGGGTTCTCTCAACCTGGTTTACATTATATGGTATAACTGAAAGAGAGGAAGACATCAACAGCAGATTCTGCATAGCAGAGGCTTCGTGCTTAACTGCGGCAAGTAACACCTGGAAATGCTCCTCGACCGTGAGCTGTACTTATAAGCGGCTCCCTGAAGCCTTATGTCAATTTCTCAAAGAACATGGTGTTTGTGTTTTGTATAGGTAGGGAGCTACTGTACTGCTTGTGATACTGAGAGACACATTTTTACGAATCCCTAAACCAGTGTGGGAACATCCAGCATGAGGAGTGGAGAACGTTCGATTTTCCATCAGTTAATCGCAATCTGAACTCTGACCAGTTAGGCTAAATACGGCACCTGAGAGACTGACGTTATTAATATAGATCTGTTTCTCTAATTCCTGGGTCTTAGTTTTCCATTCATTATACTGAGCTTGCTCTTATAATCCAATGGCTAACTGGGTATTTTTATTCCAAATTAATGATAAGCACATTTTCTTCCATAAACTTAGTCATTTCCTGAAATAGAATAAACTATCTTCCATTATAAGGGATATGTGGCAACTTACATCTTAGGTAACGAGAAGTTTCTTCTGTTTCAGGAAATAGTAAATTCTTCTGTTCCAGGTATTGACGAAAATTTTCCATTTCAGGGAATGGCCAATTTCCATTCCAGCGAATCCTCAGATTTTTCTATTCCAAAGAACTGCGAGCTTCTTTTCAGGTTGAAGCCAGTTTTTTCCAATCCAGGAAAGATCACGGCATATCTCACCCGACGGGACTTCGTAGACGACCTCACTCGCACTTGGCCCGTGGAGGGCGTGGTAGTGGTGGACCATGAGTACCTCCGAGGAAGGAAAGTCTTCGTCAGAGTCTCCATCTCTTACCGTTATGGCCGCGAAGAGGATGAAGTCATGGGTCTCAACTTCAGCAAGGAGTTTGTGTTGACCAAGTGCGAGGTGATGCTGAAGAGGGTAGAGGAGAGGAAGGCAGGGGGTACTGTAGCTCGGCTTCTGGAAAAGTTAGGGGCGGAGGCGTGTCCTTTTGCCATCCTGCTTCCTGAAAATGCGCCACCATCGGTTACCTTAGAACCAGGAGCTGAGGGCACGGTAAGACAAACTAATTTTTCACCTCAAAGCCCTTTAGTAGGCAATTAATGAAGGAAGAACTGATTTATGAAATCCAAACAGCATAGAGAAACAGGTGGTAAAATTCCGAAAAATAGGCAGATACTGAAACTTATGCCTATTACTTAGAAAGTCAACCCTAATGTTCTCGAATTAACAAATTTTATATTTCTCATATTGCCTGTTAAGGCAGAAGGAAGGAGGACAGTGTCAGGAAGGCAAGAGGGAGGAGATAAGGAGAGAAAGAAGGGAAGAGAAGGGGACGGAGTTGGAAAGAAGTTTTAGAAGATTTAAAAATATTACCTCTGATATTTATATAAATGATAAACAAATGGAAGGAGGAGGTAGGTGTCGTGTGGTGTCTAGTGTCTTGTGCTGTTAAGACCTAAAGTATACGTCTTACCAACTCAGACACGGAACAGTTTATTGACAAAACTAACTTTATTTCTAAAAAAAAAAGTATATTGCAGTAACAAATGATATAGGATTAATTGACATACGTCTGCTACTTTATAGACAACCTCTTGTTAGGCAGAGCATTCTAGGCAAACTTAAAACTAACTTATAACTGCTGAACAGTTATGCAATTAGGATAATTTACTAGAATATAACGGTTTGCAATATCTGACGTCTTATATACTACATTAATTTGGTTTAAGATTTAACATTCTAGTGTAACAGTTTGGAATAACATTTGCAGTGGTGAATACTAAGGTAAAAAGTATTTTCGGTTAATACACATGTTGAAACACTGGTAATAGCTAGAACATCAGTATGAGGGTTAATATTATTGGAATCATACTGACAGATCAGGCTTTAAGATCATTTAGCTCGGCAAGGAGTAAGTAAAATTAAGGAGGTTTTTTTTTCCTTTTTTCAAATTTTTTTTTAAGCAGGTGGCAGAAGGGAAAGTTTTTAGCATGTTTTGGAAAGGTGCTGAAAATTTTAAGGCCCATTATTTACATGGAGTTCTTACTTAGGTTAAATCATAAACATGGTGTATTAAAGTGATATTTAATTTTTTTAATGTGACTGCTCTGTTGACGCTCTCCGGGAAGAGTATGAGCGCTGGTTTAAAGCTCGTTATGTTATTAATATAGGGAGGTACCACCTCTAGAACTTTACTGAGGACCCTCATCCTCAGAGAAGAGAATAAACGTACACGGTGACCCAAACAGAAAAACGAAAGTATTTCTCTTTTAATTTAGTAATATATAAAGGAGAAGTGGTTACTAGCTCCTTGTTCCATTAAAAATAATATTATATATATATATATATATATATATATATATATAATATATATATATATATAATAAACATCAGTAAGAATGGATAAATTGAATGATGAAATTTAGAGGCTTGAATAGTGGGTGTGTGTGTATTGTGCGGAACCCGTTTGGGTGATTTCTTTAAGAGTTGATGTCTCTTGGATACCAATTGGTTTTAGGTGATATTTTGTAGATCTCCAAACACAAATAACATGAGGTAAGGATAGATAATAGTAGTGGAGAGTGAGTAAATATGTTTGTGGAATACAGTAGCCTAAATTTGATAGAATGTCCACAGTTGCGGACGTTTTCTAAGATGTGCTGGATGTGAATGTTGAATTTCAGGTTGCAGTCTAGGTGCATCCCTATGAGTATGACCTCGACTTTGTGTAAATTGTTTGTTAAAATGGGTAGTTTTAGCGTTGTTTCCAAACAAATTTTCACCAGTGACACTAATATTTGCTCCATTTACCTAGAAAAAGAAGCTCGGAGTCATCTACGAACTGATGTTGTACGTTGCCGAGAACGTCGATGAAGAACCCCACAAGCGAAACTCGGTCAGCTTCGCTGTCCGCAAGATTCAGCTCGCGCCCAAGAAATCCAGCGGCCGTCATCCGCAGATTCTGGTAAGCAGAGGCTTCACGCTAAACCCCGGCAAGCTGCACTTGGAGGTGTGTCTTGACCGTGACCTGTACTTCTACGGAGAATCCTTAGAGCCACAAGTCAACATCAGCAACTTCTCCAAGAAGACTGTGAAGTACATCGTGGCCCAGGTGGTGCAGCACGTTGAGGTCACCGTCACCAACACACATTTCAGCCGCATCGTAGCATCCATAGAATCCCGCGAGGGATGTCCTATTATCCCAGACTCCAGCTTCTCCAGGACTATTGGCCTAACACCCTTAGCCTTCAGAGCCTTCGGCGTTGCCCTTGATGGTCAGCTTCAGGACAAGGACGCCGGACTGGCCGCTTCTACAGTGGTCTCGGCCAGGATGAGTGCCAGCGATGCTCTGGGTATTGTAGTGTCGTACTCCCTGCGTGTTAAGCTCAACTGTGGCTCCCTGAGTGGGGAGCTGATGGCTGAAGTTCCCTTTAAACTTATGCACCCGGACCCCATCGACAGCGGTGATTTCACTGATATATCTCGCTCCGTGGACAGTCTCGAGTTTGAAGATTTCAGTGTTTTACGACGCGGTAAATCTGTATCGGATGAAATAGAATGCTGATCAAGTAACACTGCATAATTTTCACATTTTATTCATTTCCATCCCGGGTATGCTAAGAAAGAAATGAAAGGACGAGTCTTTGGTTTAACATAGAGTTTTGGTTTATTTAGGGTTTTGTGTCGATAAGCAAGTCCAGTGAACAAGCGTAGGTTTGTGAGGCTTACTGAAGTTCGTATTTTTTATGGCTTCTAATATTAAAACTATTAAAGATCTGTTTGCAAGGTTATTCCCTTTCCTGCCCTCACTGCCCTCTCTTCTCCCTGTCTTCCTACTGGTATCTCTCCCTCTCTCTTGGTCTCCTTGCTCTCTCTTCTCCCTGCCCTCCTACAGGTATCCCTCTTTCCTTCTTGGTCTCCCTGCCCTCCTACTGGTATCCCTCCTTCCCTAATGGTCTCCCTGCTCTCCCTCCTGGTATCTCTCCTCTCTCTCTCTTCTTTCCACAAGATAAACAGATTATGTAATATTTTTTCTAATACTTAATATTACACCAAAAATTAAGCTTATAAACTCACCTTGCTATAATTTACTTAACAGGAGCACTCTACGGTAGGTGCCTCGGTGCTCCTTAATGATTATACTTCACGAAGAACTAAACCCGGTGAAGGCTCGATCCTCCGTCACCTACTTATCGCTTTAATGATGTTAAAGGACTCTTTGATATTAAGAAATAGAGGTGTTCTCCCCTTCTGCTTCAGTCAATTCTCAAACCTTCCATTCCCTAGGCGTTGTTTGGCCGTACGGATTTAGCGCTTCTTTGTGAATGCTTTACCATTCTTATATAAAATTGTTTCACATTTATAGGGATAGAAAGAATAGTCGCTTTGTTTTTCGTAGGTAACTAAGTTAACTTGTGCCGCTGATATTCACGATTTTACTACAACTTGAGGCTCTTGATCCAGGAAATTGCAGTAATCATTCTTCTTTTATTCCCTCTCTGCATCAGACCTGATTACCTCCCATTTTCTTAGCGTTGTATGACACCTACGGGCTTAGCGCTTCCCCAATAAAATAATACAGTACAGGGTGTTTAAAAAATATAGACCCAATTTTAAAGCAATTTAATTTGAAATTGGGACCAAATATTTGAAACACCCTGTATTTTTAAAAATATTTTAAAATTTATTACAAAAATGTCGACATGTAATCAAAATGGCCGCCATTTAGAACATGAAATATTTTTTTTTCTTTTAATTATAAAGTTCGTCCTGGACTTATGTAAAAGTTACAAAAATTTCTTGTTTTTACTTTCCTAATTAATGTATTAGTATTTAGAACTTAATGAACTGGCCGATAAAAGAGCCAGTGCTGGAGACAGGAAAAAAAAACTATATTACAATACAAGCTTCTAACACTGTAATATTACAAAACAAACTTCTAACACTGTAATATTACAATACAAACTAATAACACTGTAATATTACAATACAAACACCTAACATTGTAATATTACAAAACAAACTTCTAACACTGTAATATTACAATACAAACTTCTAACACTGTAATATTACAATACAAACTTCTAACACTGTAATATTACAATACAAACTTCTAACACTGTAATATTACAATACAAACTTCTAACACTGTAATATTACAATACAAACTTCTAACACTGTAATATTACAATACAAACTTCTAACACTGTAATATTACAATACAAACTTCTAACACTGTAATATTACAATACAAACTCCTAACACTGTAATATTACAATACAAACTTCTAACACTAATATTTCAATACAAACTTCTAACACTGTAATATTACAATACAAGCTTCTAACACTGTAATATTACAATACAAGCTTCTAACACTGTAATATTACAATACAAGCTTCTAACACTGTAATATTACAATACAAACTTCTAACACTGTAATATTACATTACAAACTTCTAACACTGTAATATTACAATACAAACTTCTAACACTCTAATATTACAATACAAACTACTAACACTAATATTACAATACAAACTTCTAACACAATACACTCCTCTGACACTGTAATATTACAAAACAAACTTCTAGCACTGTAATATTACAATACAAACTTCTAACACTGTAATATTACAATACAAACTTCTAACACAATACACTCCTCTAAAACTGTAATATTACAATACAAACTTCTAACACAATACACTCCTCTAACACTGTAATATTACAATACAAACTTCTTACACTGTAATATTACAATACAAACTTCTTACACTGTAATATTACAATACAAACTTCTAACTGTAATATTACAATACAAACTTCTAACAGTTTAATATTACAATACAAACTTCTAACACAATACTCTCCTCTGACACTGCAATATTACAATACAAACTTCCAACACTGTAATATTACAATACAAACTTCCAACACTGTAATATTACAATACAAACTTCTAACTGTAGTATTACAATACAAACTTCTAACACTGTAATATTACAAGACAAATTTCTAACACTGTAATATTACAATGCAAACTTCTAACACAATGCACTCCTAACACTGTAATATTACAATACAAACTTCTAACACAATACACTCCTCTAACACTGTAATATTACAATACAAACTTCTAACACTGTAATATTACAATACAAACTTCTAACACAATACTCTCCTCTGACACTGTAATATTGCAAAACAAACTTCTAACACAGTACTCTCCTCTGACACTGTAATATTACAATGCAAACTTCTAACACAATGCACTCCTAACACTGTAATATTACAATACAAACTTCTAAAACTGTAATATTACAATACAAACTTCTAAAACTGTAATATTACAATACAAACTTCTAAAACTGTAATATTACAATACAAACTTCTAACACTGTAATATTACAATACAAACTTCTAGCACAATACACTCCTCTGACACTGATACTACAATACACACTTCTAACACTGTAATATTACAATACAATCTTCTAACACTGTAATATTACAATACAATCTTCTAACACTGTAATATTACAATACAAACTTCTAACACTGTAATATTACAATACAAACTTCTAACACAATGCACTCCTCTAACACTGTAATATTACAATACAAACTTCTCACACTGTAATATTACAATACAAACTTCTAAGACTGTAATATTACAATACAAACTTCTAAGACTGCAATATTACAATACAAACTTCTAAGACTGTAATATTACAATACAAACTTCTAACACTGTAATATTACAATACAAACTTCTAAGACTGTAATATTACAATACACTCTTTTAACACTGTAATATTACAATACAAACTTCTATCTGTAATATTACAATACAAACTTCTAACACTGTAATATTACAATACAAACTTCTAACACAATACACTCCTCTAACACTGTAATATTACAATACAAACTTCTAACACTGTAATATTACAATACAAACTTCTAACACAATACTCTCCTCTGACACTGTAATATTACAATACAAACTTCTTACACTGTAATATTACAATACAAACTTCTAACACTGTAATATTACAATACAAACTTCTAACACAATACACTCCTCTAACACTGTAATATTACAATACAAACTTCTAACACAATACACTCCTCTAACACTGTAATATTACAATACAAACTTCTCACACTGTAATTACAATACAAACTTCTAACACTGTAATATTACAATACAAACTTCTAAAACTGTAATATTACAATACAAACTTCTAAGACTGTAATATTACAATACAAACTTCTAACACAATACACTCCTCTAACACTGTAATATTACAATACAAACTTCTCACACTGTAATATTACAATACAAACTTCTAAGACTGTAATATTACAATACAAACTTCTAACACTGTAATATTACAATACAAACTTCTAACTGTAATATTACAATACAAACTTCTAACACAATACTCTCCTCTGACACTGTAATATTATAATACAAACTTCTAACACAATACTCTCCTCTGACACTGTAATATTACAATACAAACTTCTAACACTGTAATATTACAATACAAACTTCTAACACAATACTCTCCTCTGACACTGTAATATTACAACACAAACTTCTAACACAATACTCTCCTCTGACACTGTAATATTACAATACAAACTTCTAACACTGTAATATTACAATACAAACTTCTAACACTGTAATAAATTTCAATACAAACTTCTACACAATACCCCTCTGACACTGTAATATTACAATACACACTTCTAACACTGTAATATTACACACTTCTAACACTGTAATATTACAATACACACTTCTGACACTGTAATATTACAATACACACTTCTATCACTGTAATATTACAATGCAAACTTCTAACACAATACTCTCCTCTGACACTGTAATATTACAATACAAACTTCTAACACAATACACTCCTCTAACACTGTAATATTACAATACAAACTTCTTGCACTGTAATATTACAATACAAACTTCTAACACAATATTCTCCTCTGACACTGTAATATTATAATACAAACTTCTAACACAATATTCTCCTCTGACACTCTAATATTACAATACAAACTTCTAACACAATGCACTCCTAACACTGTAATATTACAATACAAACTTCTAAAACTGTAATAAATTTCAATACAAACTTCTAAAAAATGTAATATTACAAAACAAACTTCTAAAACTGTAATATTACAATACAAACTTCTAACACGTAATAAATTTCAATACAAACTTAGCACAATAAAACTCCTCTGACACGGTAATACTACAATACACACTCTAACACTGTAATATTACAATACAATCTTCTAACACGTAATATTACAATACAATCTTTTAACCTGTAAATTACAATACAATCTTCTAACAAATGTAATATTACAATACGAACTTTAACACTGTAATATTACAATACAACTCTAACACAATGCACTCCTCTAACACGTAATATTACAATACAAAACTTCTCACACTGTAAATTACAATACAAACTTCAAGACTGTAAATTACAATACAAACTTCTAAGACTGCAAAATTACAATACAAACTTCTAAGACTGTAATATTACAATACAAACCCTTCTAACACTGTAATATTACAATACAAACTTCTAACACAATACTCTCCTCTGACACTCTAATATTACAATACAAACTTCTAACACAATGCACTCCTAACACTGTAATAAATTTCAATACAAACTTCTAACACAATACACTCCTCTAACACTGTAATATTACAATACAAACTTCTTACACTGTAATATTACAATACAAACTTCTAACTGTAATATAACAATCCAAACTTCTAACACCAAAACTCTCCTCTCACACTGTAAAAATTACAATACAAGCTTCTAACACAATACTCTCCTCTGACACTCTAATATTACAATACAAACTTCTAACACAATACTCTCCTCTGACACTGTAATATTACAATACAAACTTTTAAAAACAATACTCTCCTCTGACACCTAATATTACAATACAAACTTCTAAGACTGTAATATTACAATACACACTTTAACACTGTAATATTAAAAATACAAACTAC